TCTGCTGAATTCGATAGAGTTATCCATTATTTTTGAAAAATATTATCCTTCATTTTCAGAAAAGGAGATAAAGATGCAAGCAATTTTGTTGCGGAATTAAAGAAATCTGGCGTCGGAGACAATTTCCTCGTTATCTCGAATACGAAATCCTCCTCAGATATTGTAGATTTGTATGATCTGAAGGATAATAATGCAGTAGGAGAAGAGCAAGAAATTTCTGGAAGAATCATTGATTTTGGTAAGTTGAGTTTTCGTTTTGCAACGTCATGGGGATGCCTAGTGATTTTCAGAAGACGGCGAAACTTTATTTCTAGGTCATGGCACGATTTCAACAAGATCTACGCGTAGACCAGTTCGCACTACTCAAAAACCATCAAAAACGCCTGCTCCTACTAGGAAAACGACTTCTAAGACTGTTCCTCCGAGCAGAACGACTCCTAAAACGCCTGTTCCTCCCGGAAAATCGACCACTGAAACGCCTGCTCCTTCGAGCAAAACGTCTCCTAAAACGCCCGTTCCTCCTAGCGTACCAACCACTCCAGGTATATTTGAAAAAGAACAAATGCTACTTCTTTTGGGATTGCAATCGGGCTTAAACGCTTGCATACTTGCAACGTTTGTTTTTAGAGAAGCCAGGAAAGAAATTCAATTGCTTGTTTGTCGGAGATCTTTATAATTACGGAGATGATACTGAGTCTTACGAATTGGTGAATTTTAGACACATCGAGAGTTTTTCGCCAATTTTAAGCACCCATTTAAGGAAGCTGAGCTTCTAAGTGCTGTTGGATACGACTTCTTTGACGAAACCGTGCGTTCGCATATTGCTTTATGGGCATATGGGTACACAGACTTCCCACGAAAGGTCAATGCTACGTTGAAGGATATGTCAAAGAATTACGAGGAATTGAAGGCGCAGATAGAAAAGATGAAATACGTTCACAACAGCAACGCCATGTCCACAGAAAGGTAATAAGAATACTGAGAAAGGCAAAGCTAGATTGAATTTTTACTTTAGCGCCATTAAAGCTATCAATGAGATGTATGACACAGAAAAGAGATTGGACTGCTTGGTCTTCCTCAGTGCTCAGTAAGTTTTTTTGGACCATGATGAGCATCTATCTTGAATGGAAAATATGTTATTTTTTCTTCAGAAGTGACACCCGAAACCTTCCTCAAATAGCTCCCCAACACCTGAAGTTTAAGAGAGTTGTAGTCGTCGGCCTTAGCGGTTGGTTAAGTGTTAATAGATGACTTTTGTCATATTATATGAAAAGGGCCCTATTTCTTCAAAAAACATCACTCAGCATAGTAGCTACATGTATGACACGCCTTTGTCACTTTAGGTACCTCACCGAGTGAGATTCTGCCCGAGAACGGTAGATTGGTTTCAGTTCCTCTGAACTATGTGGAATCTGACATAAGAAATATAGTCGATGCAATCATTGGGTAGTTTTCTTAACTAATCTGAGAGAAATCTTGGTATTTGAGTTTTTTAGAGATGAACCGACAACAATGCCAACCACGCGTAGAAGTACCCTTAGTATGTGTTCGAGCCTCTTCTGCCTCTATCAAATGCAGATAACATGAATGATCTTTTATACTCACATACTTCAGAACCCGAAGACGAGCTAAGATGCTTGTTTATTGGTGACTTATACAATTATGGAACAAACAAGGACGCTTATGATAATGTTAGTTTCATAAACGACCACTATATTGCAAATCAACATTTTCCGCAGCACGCAGATGAGATTTATACTTTTGTTGAAGTGATAAAAAAGTTTATTCGACGATATTCACTAGTCCTGTGCTGAGATCCTGTATAGTTATTGTGCGCTTGCGCAAATATGTTCTAGAATGTGCCAGTCAGAATAGCAGTTATCATTTAACGTGGTCAGAAGTTAGCGAAAACTAATATTTGTGGAAAAAAAGTTTTCTGCATTAGATTGTAATAGGAAAAACCATTATTGGCCAAAGAAAAAATGTTCCAAATTTGAACGTGATCATTTACATTCATGCAGCACAGCTGTACTGCATAATATACGTTTTTTTAAGGAAAGAGAATTTATATCGACTCTGGGATTCGACTACTTCAAGGAGCAGCCATACAAAGCCGGCTTTTGGGCTTATGGATACACAAAATATCCCGAATCTCCGAATCTTGACAAGATGTTCGCAGATTATCGAGAATTCGACGAAGAATTAAAAAATATGGAGTATTCTCAAAACTCTGATCCTCTGTCAACTTTACGGTATGCATTTCTCTAACATTACTGCCGAAAAGGTAGTGACAATGGATTCAGTGTCATCAAAGTCATTAATTCGTTGAAAGTGAATGTGAATCAGATGAACTGCCTGGTGTTATTTGCTGCACCGTAAGTTGCTCTACAATGCTTAGCGATATAAGTAGTCGTATTGAGTCATTATGGACGATTTTCAAGGAACAATACCCAGTCTCTCCCGGTTTTGGATCCTCATTCAAATATCAAACGGATTGTTGCAGTCGGATTTAACAGTGAGTTCGAGTTTTGCCCTCGTATGGCTTGATAACTTATCAAACCGCTGAGAGTATAGCAGTTTACACGCGTACAACTTTTTTCGTATCTTTTAAACTTGCTTACAAGCATAGTCTAAGCCAAAAATTTGTTTCCTTCAACAAATTATCTAAAAATTTACCCTGCACTTGAATAATCTTCTCTGCTAGAATTGAGCTCAAAATTTTCACAAGCGAAATTTAGGCGCCGACTTAACAGACGTAGCGGGTAAGAGAGGAGTAGCCGTCAGCGTGCCATACAACTACGTGGAAGAGGATGTCAAAAATGTTTTGGATGCCATAATGGGAAGGTAGGGTAACTGTGTTTTTGTATTTTGAGTAAGAACTTATACGCGTGTCGTTCGGTGGGAAATCCAATAATAGGATCAGTGCTATTGAATGTTTTTGATACAAATCTGCCCATTCCGCTGTGAAACTCAACGGAAATGTACTAATATATCTTCTACTGAAATTAGCGTATATCAGTTTATCGGCAAATTTGAATCATAATGTATGATACCTGTACAAAAACTGGTTCGTTAAGTTCTTATTTCGGTCATAGACAGCTTTTTCGTTTTCTTTAAAGTTTGGAATTACGAATAATGCTCAGCTTAGATGAAATGATATCACACTTCTTCAGGGTAGCCATACAAAAGGCAGATGTGCAATTAAGGTTTTGAAGCGCATCTAATTCTATCATGCAAGTGCAAAGTTCTTTCTGAACACAGACTCAGAATTTGCTTGACTCCAAATAATCAATATGCCCTCCAGTTAATTACCGTACAAGGCCTTCCTCACGAAAAAATGCTCTTATTAGCATCGTGAAAACAAATGTGAATTTGGGGCTTTGAGTTTCCGGTGGATGTTAATCGTCAAGATGACCTTTTTTCCTATTGAAGTAAGCACGTGAGAGCCCCTCCTGGCTTAATGTTGAGGCCTAATTCGTCTAACTTTATCATTCAAAAATGTCCATCTTCTCATTTCCGAAATGTCTCTAAATATTAGGTGAGATTAAAAA